ACAATCCTATACTCGTGGTTATTTGGCGTATTGTTGCCGCTTTTGTTCAGGTATGACACTTTGGCGTTAGCGCTTCACATCGAAATTCGTGCTCCCTTATTTTCATTTTGACGCATTTCAATGCCGATTCTTTTATTTTTAATGGGCTCGCATTTTGTTTTCGCTCAATTTATTTTGTAAACCTTCTGAAAAGAGAGAAAAATGGGTTTTTTTATTACTTTATTTAATAGTACGGTTTTTTAGCTTCCAAAATAGAAAATAAGAAGCTGCTAATTTTTTCCACACTTTGAATAATGATAATGCATAAACTCGGTGACAGGTAATAAGATCAACGGAAATAAGGTCAATTGACTTTATTTCCCACCCTGGTGCGAAATAAAGTCAATTGACATTATTACCTTTTTAAGTGCGAAATAAAATCCATTGACGTTATTGCTCTTTTAAACATTAAATTTGCAATGCGCGCGCCGCGCTCGCGCCTCGCGTACCCCGCGCGACCAGCGAGCACACCACGTCATGCTACGCCGCGGCCCCCGGCCCCCTTCCCTGTCTCCCGCCGTGCTGTAACGCAGGTAGATTTATTTTTTGTATATTTTAAACATCGAGGGCTTATATTCAATAATACTCTCTATCTGCACACTTTTCACAAAGATGAGATTCTGATATAAAATACACCTAAGCTTTAACTGTTATCGGTGATATTAATGCTGCCTTATATAACGCTTGACAGCAGAATTTACACTATTATAAATTGGAAATTTGAGGTTATGTCACTGATGACAGGTTATAAGTACCAAATGGTTTCTAAAATCACAAATTAGTTTTTGTATAAATTGCTGATAGAGGGTATTAATGAATTTAAGCCTCGATATTGCACATATTTATAGTTGTAAGTTATTGGAAGATTTCTGCTGTGTTTTGGCAACAACTTGTCTGCAGTAAAAAAGCATATAATTTGTGTTTCAAAAGTGTGTGAAAACCAATCAATTAATTTACATGATCTCGGTTACGATATTAAAAAATCAATAATTGTTTGCACCCGCATTTTGGCACATTGGCTTGAATGTGCCATCTAATAAATAGTGTCGTTGTTGTTGTTGTAGCGGCTACAACAACCCCACCCAGGACGGTTGGTATCTCAGTCGTTGTCGTCACGTTCCACTAACGGCAACCCTAGGAAGCGTGCAGCTTCTGTGGGGTTTGTCCACAGGGACAAGGCCGTTAGGGTTGTCGGGTTTTCCGGGCATGCGAAGAGATGTTTCGAGTCATGTGGGGTCTCTCCGCATGCCGGATACTCATTCGGCACATCCTCATTCAACCTACTCAGGTAGGAGTTTAACCTACTGCAGTAGCCGGAGCGAAGTTGTGCAAGTGTTGTGCGAGTCTCCCGAGGCAGATGAAGCTCCGTGTCGTCTATGTCCGGGGTGGTATGCCTAGAACGGCATTCACAGGCCTAGAGTCTACATAACTCGAGCCTGAGTCCCTGTGAATGCCGTTCAGGGCCTGTCGGTAAGCTCTCGGGTCGGTGCTTGATGAACCTCTGGACTTCGTCTGTCAGTTCATATAGATGCCTCCTGACGTGCCTAAATAGTGTCGTCGTTCGCCTTGCTTTTAAATGATGTCACAAATTGCTGGCGGAGACATGAATACAGTGTAAGAAAAGTCCTTTTCTATAATTGTTTCCTTATAGAAAGGTTGGTTTCTTTTCCGTTCAAAATATGCTAATTTAAAACACAGAATTCTTTCAGTGTTCCTCCGGGGTTTTTGGACGCGGACAGTTTCTTCAATTTAATAGTGTTCGCTTTATTTTTGTGGAAACGAAACATGTTTTTCAAATATTTCTCGTATTCCAGCTGTGCCTTGCGTTTGTTTTTTGTCATCGTGTTTTTACATATTCGTAATTTAATTTTTTTTAATAAAATCAATTGGTGGTAGTTCTTGCTTGTGTGTGGATTAATATCACCACACTGAGGATTTGGCAATAACCTTTGTCAACTATTAAAAAACAACTCTTACGGGACAATGTTTATTGTAAGAACAACATTTTTTTCTATGAATCGACATACTTTAAGCATTGTAGACGCAATTTCCATTTGAATGAGGAAATAGCGTCAATGACTTTATTTCCAATTTTTTTTTACTTTATTTCGCTTTTGAAAAGGTAATAATGTCAATTGACTTTATTTCGCACCAGGGTGGGAAATAAAGTCAATTGACCTTATTTCCGTTGATCTTGTTACCCATATGTCACCCATAAAATCATCTTTTGGTTTCTTGTCAGTGCCATCAGATACGCACGAATCGTTCGATTTTCAAAAACGGGCTGTCAGATTAAAAAGCTTGACCTGTAGATTTAAAATAAAGGCTTACTTTTTTTAAACCGCCACCTGTTAAAAAATTATACTCAAATTATTTAATAAGTTAAATGAATTATTAAAATGTTGGTATCAATCGAAATGGATGTGAAAAGGGTTTATTTCTTAACTACATTATTACTTTATTTAATAGTACGGTTTTTTAGCTTCCAAAATATAAAATAAAAAGCTGCTCATTTTTTCCACTTTTTGAATAATGCTAATGCATAAAATCATCTTTTCATTTCTTGTCAGTGCCATCAGATACGCACGAATCGTTCGATTTTCAAAAACGGGGTGTCACATTAAAAAGCTAGACCTGTAGATTTAAAATAAAGGCTTACTTTTTTAATAAGTTGAATGAATTATTAAAATATTGGTATCAATCGAAATGGGTGTGAAAAGGGTTTATTTCTTAACTACATGCAGCAGGGTTGCCACCTGTCTAAACATTAATTCCATTTGAATTAAGGGAATTAGGTAATTGAAATACGTAGGTATCACCATATGCGAGTCAGAGGTTTAAGAAGGTTACAGCTTACAAATATTTTGAAGAGGATTGCCACCAGTGTGTAAAGTCAAATTTAAACTAAAATAATAATTGCCTCAAACCAAAGGTTTACGACATCGTATTTGTTATTTTATAACAAATACATACATTGTTAATCAGTGATTTGTTCTGATTACATTCCTTTTAAGTTACTGGACTCTTAAATTAACCCAGGAATGTTTTTAATCTTCACTTATTTCTTGGTAAATATGTATATCCAATTTTTTCTTGTGTCTGATATCCATATTGATATACATATTTCAGTTACCTTATTCCCTTAATTAAACCGAATTTGCGTTTTTAAACATGTGGCAACGTTTCTACGTATGATGGTCACTTATAGTTATTTTCTGTAAAGTCATTCGTATGAGAAAATGTTAACAAAAAAAGCGGAAAAAAAGAAAAGAGAAGAAGTCATAATTTTACAAAGATTTTTCTAGATTTGCATAGCAATTGAAAGTCCCCTTATTCAGTAAAAAAAATTAAACTGTTGGTTGTAGCGATTTAAAGATATTAGTAAACTTTCGCGCTGGCGACTATTTGTATAAAAGCTTTTGTAGTAATAGTGGAAATGTTTAAGGTTAATTTTCCAAGTTTTGAAATGTAAAAATCTTTTCTGCTTTATGTTTAATCAGCTGAATTATGTGAAGTGATGTTACCTGGCGTTGCGTTACTAAAATCTCCATTGAAAAAGTTTTATTAATATTTTTCTTGAACAAATTTTTAACGGGAAGAAAACATGCATTTTATGTCGAACGTACTTTTTATTTTGACATCAGCGCCACCAGCGCAAATATTTGTCCTATTATGTTTCAACTAACGTACGCAAATGTGAAACAAACCAGAGCATAAATACGGTTTTTCAAAATATCTCGACCCTGGCGCCACCTAACGGGACCGTTTTTGGCAAAAATGTTTCTGCTTACATAACCAGGATATATTATAAAAAGCAGCCAAATCGGCCTATAAATAAGTTAGATATAGGACTTTTATTTTTTTTTTTAACGGTAGACTTTTCGCTGGATTCGCCCAAATTGTATTTAATTATTGATATAATTCATCACGATTCACAGAGAAGTCTCATGATGTGTTATTTACTAATGGTGATTCTACCAAAAAATGTTGCCCTTAATAATAATAATAATAATAGATTGGCGCTTACACATATGTTAGTGTTTGGCCGAGCTTCTCCGCCGACTTGTGGTGTGCGCCTTGATGTTGTCACACAAAGCGGAGGGACCTACAGTTTTACGCCGACTCTGAACGGCGATTGTATTTTAATGAGAAGCTGTTTTTCATGGCAGAAATGCACTCGGAGGTTTGCCATTGCCTGCCGAGGGACGACCGCTGTTAAGAAAAAACCTCTTTCTATATTTTTTGCGATGTTGCACTTGGCCGGTGCAAAATGTGTTTGATGTTACACTCAATCCTTTGAAAAGGCATGTTTTTGCCTTCTTGTCCTTCTCCAGGCCACATATTTCATCATATTATCGTCTTAAGCAGCCATCTGACTTTCAAGGCAACCATCTCCCATGACAAAGCTTCAAAAGGCATAAAAGGTGCCTTTTTTGCCTTACAAGAGTGTGGAATTTTAAGAAATTAACAGAAAATTTGCTCACACTTTGCCTTTAATTTAATATTAATATTAAATATTAAGGAACAAAATAATATTAAGGAACAAAAGTGACAGCGGTCAAAATAGTAGCAGCCCAACAATATTTCGATAATAATTTGTTTTATTTAATTTTAATTTTGTTTTTATAAAAGAATTGTTCGTTCTTTAACAAAAACCATATAAATCCAAGTTTCAATCTTTGTGCAAAATTTAAAAAGCTTGAAATTTTGATGAAAATTTGCTGTATTGTTTTAAATTTTGAACAAAGTTTGAAATCTGGATTTCTATTGTTTTTGTTAAAGAACGAAAAATTATTGTCGAAATATGTACACTTGTTAAAACATTTGCTAAAGTGCTTACATAGCTTTTGGTGTTGGATTCGTCTATATCTTCAACCAATTCTTTGAGCGTGTCGTCGTCTTTTATGGGGAATACACCCGATATGGTTGAGCTCTCTGTTTCTTGATTTAATAGCTTTTTAATAAGAACATTTTGTTCAGCCAATGCTTCCATCACAACTGTATTTTGATGAGTGGTCGAATCTGAAAAATCTGAAAAAAATGTAGTTTTAATTTTTTCATATCATAAAAATCTAAAAAGTGCATACTACTTTTTAGTTCCTCTGTTACGAATGAATGAAGTTGAGATATTGAATCTGAAAATATAGAAGTAAAAGTTAATATTCTCACAAGGGTTTATATACATACATACCTTTTATTTCCTGAAATTTTCTCATCTATTTATGTTTCAAATATTTCTTCCAGTCTCACGCAATTCTCACACCGGTTTTCATCTGCACAAAAATAATGAATTTGTAATAAAAGTACATTTTAATTTTCAATATTTCCCTTTTGTTTCCACGTTTGTCTTCGTGCGTTTAACGTACTTTGATGGCCGTTTTTCCATTTTTGAGGGTCCGCTTATAAATAAATAAATTATAATGCTTAGTTATTTGTACATTTAAATAAATACTAAATTTGTATTGAGTTCAAAAGCAGCCTGGTAAGATTGGAATCAAGACAATTTTATCCTGGTGAGGTAAACCTATGCACTTACATCTGATTTGGGATAGAAGAAAACTTTCGTCTATGCTGCTGCGATTTAAATTGATCAAACATATTCCTAAATATTTTAATGAATCTATAGGTTCCTCAAGAAACGCCGTTGGATTTAAAAGTCGCTTTCCTATTACAAGTTTTTTTTCTTTATTGAAAGCTGCTATATGGAAGGGTATATTAGGCTCGATAAAACAATAGTTGTCGGGAAAATCGACGCTAAAAATATATTCCGACGTGACAAACTTTATTCGATTTTTTTCTTCTAAAAATCCTTGTTGAGTTTGTATATTAGGCTTTTCGCGGGAAACGTTGGTGTAAATTTGTTGCAGTATATGTGCGGGTTTTTTAACGTAACTTTTTAAAATTTGCAAGTAATTTTCAAAGTTGTAAGCTGAAAAATTTTGCAAAATTCCGAATTGTTATGCACAGTCTGTGAGATGCAAAAGGCTGTGTAGATTAAAACTTACGCTATTTTCCTTAAACACTTCTGGAAAATTTTTGCACAAACAGCTTCAGCATATCCTGACAAAGTTTTATATTTCGCTCGTAGCTTTTTGGGCATGAGTAGTGCAGTAGGAGAAATTCATAATAAAGCTCATTATGAATGCTTCCTTTTAGTACTAAAATACCCGTATAGAGGAAAAATTGCCGAAATTCCGTGTTTTAGTGAGTTTTAGCCGCCTTTTCTTAAAATCTTCAACGGAAATCAGTGGGCCGGAATCTATACTGTTAGTTAAAACGTGATCAATTTGTTTCGCTACTTGCGTACATTTGGAACAACCGTAAGAGGATGTGTGCCCAACTGTGCCACATATAAATGAAGTAGCTGGGGCATCGCAACCCCAGCTCTTAATGTAAGGCGAACTGTTTTGTTTTCAATGCAAATTCCAGTTTGTGATAGGCGAGTCATTTCTTCAACAAAATCAAGTAATAAACGTCTAAATCACTCGGCTTTTGCTTTCCAATATATTCTCCAATGGGTAATATAGAAGTTATCTTAGAGTTAACGATTCTAATCAAAATGGGCCATAGCTGAACCCTGGAGCTTCTAAATAGGGGTATTCCATCCACATTAATGTCGAAAACTATTTCATCGCTTCGGAAAACTAATTAGACATAGACATTAACTGATTTTCAATACCAAAGTGGGAATAGAATCCTGGAGGTACACATCTAATAGTAAAGTTTGCCGTTTTTGGTAAATCACATCGAGGCACATCGAGATTTTCTTCGGCAAGAATTCCAAGCAAATCATTGCAACCCTCTCTACCAGGTCTGTACTTTAGTGCCCAATCTTTTAATTTACACTTTAAATCTTTCGTACACAAACTACTAACCGGCTCCTCATCTGGTACGAAATTTTCACTTGATTGCAAATTTGACTCCCGCACAAGCGCTTTTGCGTACGAAAACGCCAAAACATGAAAATTTGTAAAAACTTTTACTGGATTTTACTGGAAATGAGTAAACAAACGTAACTAATTACTATTTTGATTTCTCGTTTTCGATAAAATGCGTCACTTACTCATCAGCTGTTTTAGAGTGTTGCGCAAACAAATGGTTTATTTGCAACGCCGAACATTGAAATTTTGTATATACCAAATTCAAGTTCTGCGCTTGATTGTTACGACGTCGTTTTTTTTATCACGCTGACGTCGTACTTCTGATGGTCAGTCGGCTTTTTTCGCAATTCTTTATAGGAATTGGATATTGGCATTCATTGAACATTTTTGCTGTAAACCTGTGTAATTAAAGGTTTGTTCACTAGTGACATTCGAGTTTTGACACTCCCTTAACTCCCTTACGAAAGCTTTGCCTTGCTAAGGGAGACGATTTTGTCAAGAGGGAGCGACAAAACTGGTTTCTGAGCAAATTGAATCATGGAAAATATTAAATTTTGTTTTTATTCCCCAGTAGAACTTGGGAGCATCCTAGGAGGGGGAGTAATCCCTTTTACCTCCTAAACGAGCAATCGGGGAGTACACACAGAATTATCGTCCCACAAACCTTCTAATGGAGCAATACGGGAATACTCCCATAGTTACCTCCCAAAAAGACAACAACGGAGTGCACATAGAAAACATCCCACATTCCTCCCGAACGAGTAGTAAGGGAGTACTGTCATAAGAGTCATCCCGGAAGCCTCCTGTACGAGTAATAAAAGATCGTCTATACTCCCGAATGCCTCCTTATTAAGTAATGGAAGCCTACTCCCACATTGCTCCATAACGAACATTTTACATAAGCTAAAAAGATTTTGCTTTTTACGCAATTCATTCATTTAATTTTTTAATCATATATACATACATACTTATGCACATAAATACAAGATTTAAGCTGTTATTACAAAAACAGAAAAAACAAATAATACATATTACATTATTGACTAAAATTAGAATACAAATATCGAACAGTAATGATAAATTCAAACATTATACATACATTCATACATATATACTTTTCGTGCCGTTTTACCCTTAGCACCTGTTACCAACACTATATGCCCCTAACCCCTCTACTTACCAGAACGCCTCTTATGTCTGGGCCAGAAATCCGCTACTGGTGTCGGCGGAGTCTTTACGTACAAGGAAAGGGTATTCCTGGTGCTCGAGTGTACCTTACTCCCCGGATGAAGCCTTAGGCCCTTATTATGAGCTGCATTCGATTTTCGATCTTCGCTGGCTATCGAAGATCGAAGATCGAAAGTGAAATTCGTATTATGAGCTATGCAAGCGTGTCGAAATTTTCGTTGAGTATCGAATTTTCTGTCGAACAGAATTTTGCTTTCGATGGTGTTGCGAAGTGTTAGAAAATTGTGAAAAATGTATGATTTTGTATATGTTTTCTTACATTTTGGCGGCTAGACACTTATTTTAAACAATTTTTATTAATTTCATGCAGTTCTAACATCGTGAATACTAAACACAAACTCGAAAGGCTGGTTTTACTTGTGAAAGAAAATCCCAATACTCTGTTGGCGCGATCTCTGAGAACAAAATCGTAGCGCTGTTGATAGTTTTAAAATATTTTAAATAGATTTGGCTCACAAACACTTCTTTAGATGGTAGGAACTTTTTAATGAATCTGTAGACAAATTTCTTAAATATATTTTATATCAAAATATATTCGAAAGACTAATAAACTTAAACTCTCTTAAACATTTGCTACTCCTGGCCAGTTTACTTAGCTCTCATCCTCCGACGAATCGTTGAACCAGAACTCCGTTGTACCCATTTTACTACGTTTTTATAAACTTGCTTTCTTTTTTACTTCATTTTAATTAGAACAAATTTACATAAATATGTATAAGCACACTATTTGGTTTGCTCGATTTGTAAACAAAGCTTCTCAGCGGTGAAAAATATACTATTGTGAACAACCTAAACGAGCGAAATTCACAATAGCGCTATTCTTCATCGAATGAGCGCCATAATACCAAATGAAAATTCTTTCGCTCAGCGCTTTCGACCACAGTCGAAAATCGAATGCAACTCATAATAGGGGCCTTAGTTAGTTGCGGCCGCTGCTGCTGTTGTTTCACGTAAACCGCCTCCTCTGGCGAAAATCAGTAGCCTCGTGGCTGTTAGCTGTGGGTTGGCGTTATATAAATTCAATAGAGTTAATTTACACTCGCGCAACTACTTTCGCTTGTAAAACTTGCAAAAACGACTTCAATTTCTTTAAGTTAAATTTAATTTATATTTTATTTCCGTTTTTCGTTGCGTGATACAACCTTACCAAATTAATGTCTATATCGGAATGACTCTTCATTCGTTTTTTCACTCGGGTTATGTACCTGTGGAACGTATGTTCCATCAGGGCTACCAACATTACGACAGCGCTGAATAGTGCTGCCGTATTGTTAGCGATGCCATTACATCACCCTCCTTGAGAAAAGATTTTTGCAAGGTGATCACGCTTGCAAGAATCGTTCGATTCAAGGGCAATGCAAAATTGATAGGGAGGAACGAGATATTTATTAATAATATTGTAAGTATTTTTCCTTCCCCTTTTAACTCGTTCGTCCATATCGACTTTCGGCTGTAATAAAGAGTTCAAAACGTATTTTAAATAATTGACCACATTATTATATCTACTTAGCTAATTGCGTTAATTTTAAAATATCAATTTTATATTAAAGAGTATAATTAAGTAGTAGTTAAATAATTTTTTGATTTGCTAATCGTGTACAATATATGAATTTGTAATTTTGTAAATATGAAATTACATAACTATATGTTTAAAAATTAATACAGATTCAATTTTTTGACTTGTGTTAAATTAATGCCATATGAAAATACTTATGTGTATAGTGTATTAAGCCAAAATTTGAAAGTATACATACATCTAAATATACTTTATTTTTGAGTATTATTCATTTCAAATAAAAGATTTTTCTTTCAAAATAGGTTTACATGGCAATTCATGAGTTATTTCGCATTGTACACATGTATATATTTTAACTAGTTATACAGAGTAATTCGAACAATAATAATAGTTTGTATATACAGTGAAACCTCCCTTGGGCGGACACTCACCGTCAGTAATTTTTTGTCCGCCCAAGAGAGGTGTCCGCTCAATGGAA